TTTTATGTTCATTTCATCACATTTTAAATATTGAGGAGCGCTTTTAGAAGAAAATTTCACGAGGAAACCAATGGAGCCACTTTCAGAACCTCAAAGTATTGTATATATGGAGTTATAAGCGTATAAAGTTTTCAAATTTTGTCCGACCTCTCCTGTTGACTCAATCACCGGACACGCGGATCAAAGTGGGCCCGTTTCAAAGTTGCCAAGTGGTGAGAGAGAAGTTGGTTCGGCCACGTTATATACTTCCTGAAAAAGGAAATTACCGGCCCCTGCACATCTGGAGCATCTTCTTGTCATATCAGTGACCCTAAGTCATATCACTTGGAGGTTCTATCATCAAATTTAATAGTTTGGCATTTCTGAAGAGAAACTCCGTGAAACTTCAAAGATAACGTTCACAGCGTCCACGATGGGGCCGAGTTTATTAGATAGGAGCCAACCCTCATTTTCGGAAAAATTTAGTTAAGAATATTTTTAAGTTCCACTTGTCGTTTATTTTCTCCTGCCAAAAACTCAAAGTCGAGAAAGAAAATTAGTTTGTGAAAAGAAGGGTAAAAGTTTATTTTCTACGTTGAGTCTTATGGAGGAATAAAACTTCAGACCTCTTTTTCTTAGCTTCAACATAATATGGGTTGATTTTTTTCTGATAAACTCGGTCCAAGTAGGACGTTGGCTCCTCAAAACTGACTCCAAACAATGCATCAACGTCTTTACTGAAAGAGAATTTAGAAATCTCTGGATTGGAGCCATCATAGGAAGAACTAATATCACACAACACCGCTCACGTTCGTGTATCCTCATGTTTGGCGGGAATGTCTACTCTCATCAAAGTCACTTGGAACGCATTGAACAACTTTTTGCGAGCGCAGTAATTTGGTTTTCTATTACACATAGAAGATAATTTGCCAGTTTCTCCTGCAATAAGAAAAGATAAGTTCTGTCTTCTAAAGTTCGAGTCGAAGTCTTATCTTGGAATCTTCAGTGATTGTGTTTCGTATTCGCCTCTGCAGCCTGTCGATCGGTCAGTTTCAAACTTCACTGATTTGTTTTCGAACGTGTCAAAAGTGCACTTTGGGACTCTTATATTGCGCAAAGACGGGCAGAAAAGTTAAGAAAAGTTCCTAATTTCCGCAAGAATCCAGAAAAACCAACTTATTCAGAGTTCTACTTAGCCGACTTTAAAGTTCTATAACGTATTAGAAAGTTAAGAGAAATAGTTTTCCGACCTTTTCATCAATTGTCTCTGTATATTCCATTCGATGAGGTATAAAATTGGTAAATTTACGCCACAGAAAAAAAAATGGATCACTAAGTTAACGATTAAATTGTTAAAAAATATGTCCGACATATTTCAAATGTACATTTTACAACAGTGGAAAGCTAATTCAACCACTGGGGTAGTTGAAATTAGTATTTTTTATTGTAAAATCTACATTGAAATATGTCGAACGCTCTTTCAACTACAAAATTGTTCAATCAGCAATTTAATTTTTTTCGTGTCCCCGGAAAACTTTTTCGTCGAAGCTTCCCTCTGGACTTTCCTTAAATCTGGCAAGGAAATGTTGGTCATCTGAATTCGTTAGTGTATCTGTCCGAACGGTTCTCCACCGCTTGAGCCCCCGAAAACCAAACAAGGGCCACCTCCAAGTTTTTCAAAGACTGTCTCCTCCCGCCTGGAAGGGGAGTCGCTCATGCAGAACTCTTAACCGATAATGATGACGATGACAACTGCACAAAGCCAAAACCGGGAGGAAACTTCCAACCACGACGAGCTGAGCTTTGATCGAGGCGTCGAAACTTCTTCGATCGGCGCACAGTGGATCGAGTTAATCAGAGAGGTCGGACATGTAATGAAATTTTTGACTAAAACTTCAGATTTTGATGCATACTTCATCACGTTTCACTGGAAAAAAAAAAAAAAAAAAAAAAAAAAAAANAAAAAAAAAAAAAAAAAAAAAAAAAAAAAAAAAAAAAAAAAAAAAACATTGTATCTAGAGTCCAAACTCTTGAAAACATCGACAAGAAAAAATACTCTTGATTCAATCGGATTTTTGCTTATATCAAAAGGAAATCCTCTCATATTAAGAGGCTTGGTTCTTGATTTATAAGCAAAAATCCGATTGAATCTAGAGTATTTTTTCTTGTCGATGTTTTTAAGAGTCTGGACTCTAGATCCAATGTGTTTTTTTTTCCAGTGTGCCAGTGTCGTCCACTCGTCGCAACAGACAGGAGGCTGTTGAGATGGATCAGACGTAAGATTAATGTGCCTCGTTGTATTTGGGGGAAAAAAACACCGCGGCGCGTGCTAAAAATGACGTCCGAATCAACAAATTTGAAGGCATCTTTTAAAACACGGAGATGAATAATTTTCCACACAGCATCTATTGTTTACAGATAACCGAAATTTTACTCGTGCCCGTAAAATGTTTCATTCTTGACGGCTGCTGTGAGGGTAAAAAACTTTGGTTATAACTTTTTTAATAAAACAGAATTAAAGCAAGTAAAAATAAGATCTGGGTCAAATATTTTCTAAATCTTGGAAAGTCCGTGGAAAGGTACAATTAGACAGTTTCACTCGAATAAGGTGAAACAAAGCACAGATTAGTATTTTTTTTATCACCAATCTGTGTTTTGTTTTATCATACTAGACGACTGACTTCTTGGCTACATTGCGGCACCACCCTCTCCTCAATTCCCTAAGTGCTTCGCACATCCAATATTTATTAGAAAAACAAATTGACTCAATGTTAAATCCTGGAATAAATTCTGATTCTCCTTCTGAAAAATCAAAGGGTGTTCGGTTGGTTTCTGCTAAAATAGTTCCCTGCTTTCCTAATTGCTAACGTTGTTGTCCTGCTAAAACAAAAGTTTTAGCTATTTCATTACGAATAATATTAATTTAATCATTTACCCCATTTTTGAATTTTTTTGTTGAAATTGATCCATCTCGATAGTGCAACGTAAAATTGCCCGTGGATGAAAAGGTTTCGATGTAAAAAGGCCGATTTGATGAAAATGTTGACCCACGGTTTTATTAATCGTCTTTGCAAATATAAGGGAAAAGAGGAAACTGGTGCTTTTACCAGTATCTATAATTTTGCTTCAGGTTAAAAGTGATATCGTTTTCATTGACGACGCAGTTGAGCAGGGAAAGGAGGAAAAAGCGGTGTGTGACACAATAAGTGTGACACCCTCAGCGAGATATGCCACCCCTATACATTTTATTCCTAATTATTCTTAACTAGCCTTTTCAAATGCGCTTCTTTATTTTCGCAGTCATAGTTACGTAAAAAAATGAATTGTTCGCGTTAATTTTGTAAATTTTGGAATGATGCTGTGTCTCTCCGTCCGGGAAAAGACGAATTTTACCCTAGGGGAGCTCCTTTCTTTAGCGGGAAGGGCAAAACGTCTAAAAACCTTCTCAGATCCATCTCATAAGAATGTTTACTATATGAGACGGAGACGTGGTGGTAGAACTCTCCTGTTGTAAATTGCATGAATTACGACTTTGCACGGATAACCCTCTTTCTTTGTAGAAAGATGCTCGACATATTTTAAGTTCAAAGCAGCTTTTAAAGGCTCATAAATATTCGGAATATTTCAGCGAAGGAGTGAAAAAAGTTGGAAGTACATTAAGAGGAGCTTAGTAACACAACGGTTAATTCCGAACGACTTTTGGCCGCAGCTGTGCTCCGAGAGGGCTAATTGATGGCCGTTTCTCAGTTCAGTTCGCGCCGGAGAGTTTTTTAAGCTGCAGCTCATAAGTTACGAATTTAAACAGACCTCTTAGCAGTGGAATTCTCGAACCGCATTTCGCGATGTGTCTAATTTTTCTAAGTGCTGAGGGATTTTTTTTTATTTTTTTATTCTTCTTTATGTGAGGATGTTTTGTCGCGTCATTGCGGCAAATTCCTAAGTCTTTTAAAAAGGTTGTTCGCTTCTCCAGTACTCTGTTGACCTTGACCGCAGTGGATAATGCATTTTCAAAGGCGACCTGTCATGACTAAGGAGAATATTGCCGGCTTTTATTGGAAATGTTCGTTTTAAGGCGAATTTTTAGCTTTATATGCAGAGAAAAAAACTTTGATTTATACGAAACAACAAGTTTTTCAGTCCAGCTAACTGAAATTTGCAATCGTGGGGATCCAATTTCAGCTCGGGTAACCGAAGTTTTTGTTAGCTGAGAAATCTCCTTTTTATTATTTTTATTGTTATTAACTTTGGGGACCCCAAAGTCAAAACCATACGGCAACCTTGCTAACGCCTTCGCTCCCTATCTGTGAATGGAGAGTTTCGCTGGATATAGAGGTGGACTCTCAATATGGCGTGGAATGTCACCTCCATTGCGGCTTCAATTTTGAGAGCTTTTTTTGAGATTGGAGGCTGATTTCAGAGAAAATTAGTGACACCATCGTGTCTCTCGTGAAATTTTCACTATTACGAGATGGTAACTGGGACATGGGACTCCATGCTCAGCTATACATAATGTTCGGTTGCTGATCACCTCCAAGATCTTGGAATGCATGCTCACTTTAATTAGGGATAAATTTTTCGAAAAATCGAAGTGAGCATAGCGTCCAAAATTATGGGATGCAGGTACTCTCTGACGATACACAAGCATAGAGTCCAAAAATGAATTAAGACAATTTTTGTGAAATGAAGACGAAAAAAATTGTGCATTGCTTAGGTCAGGTTAGGTTAGGTAAGGTTAGATTAGTTCAAGTTAGATTAGATAAGAGAAGTATACGATTTTCTATCATGATGAACTCCAAAACTTTAGAAAGGTCTACCTGCTATTGGACTCCATGCAGTCCATGCTCAAGCAAAGAAGTGAGAAGTTTAGCAATGAGCATGGAGTTCAAGATCTTGGACGAGATGAGCAGGCAATTTTATCAAGGGTGAGCATGGAGTCCAATATCTTGGACGCGATGCTACATAATCTATGAGATTTGTTTTCAGCGGATTATAGCTATGATTTAATTTTTTTGTGTGGGCAGGTGTACCTGGGACGTCAGGATTGAGGTGTTACCAATGTGGCGAGTACAACGACGGAGTAGGATCCATCACGCCTTGCCTCAACTACACCGCCAACCACCTTAAAGAGTGCCCGTCTAGACTTTCTTTGAACTGCGTGGTAAGTCACATCTTCTTTTCACCTATACTTTTTAATCATTTTGTTTTCCCGCAGTTTATAATCAAGGTTTGGCTTATTCGAATAAATCAAACCGATGAATCTCAAAATCGGCAGAGCATCCCTCTGAACTGGATAACAAGTTGACGAACTATCGTTCCAATTTAATATCCACTGGAAAAAAAACACCATGGATCTAGTGTCCAGACTCTTAAAAACATTGACAAGAAAACATAACAACAAGAAAATGTAAGTTGCACAATCCTAGCAACATTTGAATGGTCTTGGTTCCTTCTTGCAAAATGCAATCCATGTAGTGCACTGGAAAAAAAAAAAAAAAAAAAAAAAAANAAAAAAAAAAAAAAAAAAAAAAAAAAAAAAAAAAAAAAAAAAAAAAAAAAAAAAACATATTGGATCTAGAGTCCTTACTCTTGAAAACATTGACAAGAAAAAGGACTCTTGATTCAATCGGATTTTTGATTGAATCAAAAGGAAATCAGCTTACATTAAGAGGCTTGGTTCTTGATTTAAGCTAGATTCTGATTGAATCAAGGTTACTTTTTCTTGTCGATGTTTTTAAGAGTCTGGACTCAAGATCCATGGTGTTTTTTTTTTCCAGTGTCCGTAAAGACTAAAGCCTCTTTTTTGTAGACGGTCACTGTTGTAGAACATATGTGGTACATGAATCACCATTTTTCATACAAACGAACGTAACAAAATCTCAAAGTTGCAACATTTTTACACGAAAATTGCAATTTTACGTAAAAACTGTTGGTAAAATGTAACCGAAAATTTCACTGATTCTTCTCCTGGTTATACGCAAGAATCATTACACTTTTTGACAGAAACAGCAAAGTCATTTTCTCGTAAAAAAACAAATTGTTTGTGCCAACTTTTTAACCTTGGAATGGAGTTAAACGCCCTTTCGTCTAAAATTTGATTGACAGCTTAAACGTCTTGAAAAATCCCCGAATTTACTATTTGCGAAGGATATTCCACTTTTTACTATTTTTTGATCGCGTACTAAAAACAACACGTTAACAAAGCCATTACCATTCTCAATAGTGGACTCCATCGGCATCAATGAACTTTTACTGCCCACCAATACGATTGATCGTATCTCGTTTTATAGTGTCACATCACACCAGAGAGAGAGAGGGTGTTAGGCAGATTTACGAGGTGTCCTTCACTGTCTAATTTATTGACAGGCATGCCCCATCCGTCGCACAGAGGGGAAAATCTCTATTAAAATTTGGGACCTGCCAAATTTCTGTCAATGAAATGCAATTTTTTTAAAATAATTCAAGCATATTTTCCTTTGAATATTTTACCAAATTTCACTCTAATTTCAATTTAACGTGGTCGGAAATTTCAAAGGGAAATATTCAAAACTTCTTTTGAGGAGGAATATTTTATTACAGGAAATTTGACAATGTCCGATTGTTCAAAGGCGATTGTTACTTGCTGATTAATTATTACCGCCGAGTTTGAACACTATCGTGTATGTATTGAAGACTTGTGTATATTTTGTCCTCTGATCCGCGATTACTCCAATAAAATCGAAGGCCCACGCTAGGGTGTGCCTTATTTTTGAGTTTTGCGAAAATCAAGTTGGTCAACCCCTAAAAAGTTTCTATGTAGTCTCTAAATGAACCCCCTAAAAGGAAAAAATTTTAAAAAAATTTTAACCCGTGCCTCAAAGGGCCTAAAGGGCCTAAACCCAAAATTCAAAAATTTTGGCAAGCGACACATCAATTCTGAAGGAAAATGGCAAGTTACGGCCCT